AATTTTTATTTTGAGACAAGGTCTTGATAAGTTTCCCAAGTTGGCCTTTAACTTGCAATCTTCCTGCCTCAGCCTCCCAAGTAGTTGGTATTATAGGTGAGGGCCACTCTATCTAATGCTACCCTTCTTTAGGATTTTCTTAGAGTTGTTCTTCGACTCTGTTGTTGGAAATATCATGTGGTATAAATTAATCACTTATTTAATATGACTATTTAAATTGGGGCAAGAACTATGTAATGTTTTGAACAACCAACAATAAAAATTAAAAAGAGAAAAAAAAATAAATTGGGGCATTGACAAGAAAATTGACAAAAACCTTATATGAAGTAATTTGAATCCAAATAAAATTATTGATGTTTTCTGACTATGAAATATCATTAATTATTCATTCATTGTCTTATTTTTATTAGTAGTACTATTTCATTTATTTTTGGTGCTGGGGATTGAATGCAGGGCCTCAAGCATGCTAAGCACATGAAATATCATTCGATTTAATGAGGGTGAGGAGATACTGATCAAAGTGTACAGAGTTTCAATTAGAAATAAATAGTTCTGGAGATTTATTGTATAACGTGGTGACTATAGCTAATAACAATGCACTGTGTACTTGAAAATTGCTCGAAGAATAGATCTTAAAGGTTCTCATCACACACAAAAAAATAATATGTGAGATGATGGATACATATGTTAACTAGCTTGATTCAATCATCCCACAATATGTATATATACCATATATATACATACATATACATATATCAAAACATTATGTTGTATATCATAGATACATACACTTTTTATTTGTTAATTAAATCTTAATAAAGTTTTTTAAAAATGAAACATTTTATACATGTTGTAAACATTGCTCTGCATTCATTATAGTGTGGAATACATCCATTAACAAACAAACAAACAAACAAAACCCCCCATAAAACTCAAACCCAGTCTCTAGGTCAACACAAAAATAGCCTAACATTTAATAATTATTTACAAAGAAAGTCCAGAATAGGAAAAGAGAAGCATGTTTAAGTTATTCACCTTCAAATGGGGATGAACAACTAACCTGCTGATTCCCTAGGTTTATGGGAAAAGTACTTTTAAAATGTACAGCACTATTCAAATTTAAGAAGATCCTTTTCTGTCAGGGCACAGTGGCACACACTGGTAATCCCAGTGACTTAGGAGGCTAAGGCAGAAGTATTGAACATGTTCAAGGCCAACCTCAGCAACTTGGTGAGAAATAAAAATAAAAAGATAAAAGGAACTGGAAATGTAGCTTAGTGGTAGAGCACCTTGAATTCAATTTCTAGTACCTTGGGGGTGGGGTGGGGTTGGGGAAGATAATCCTTTTTTTGCTGATAAGTAATTACTATGCTTAGAACTTTCTTTAGGAAAATAATAAATAAAAAAATTATTAGACTTTGCTTCTTCTCCTTAATGCTGCTATTGACCTATTTGTTTTGCTTTCTGTATCTCATAATGTCACACAAGAGAAGTATCTAAGTTTCTTTTGGAGAAACTTTTGCTTAGCCAAGAACCAAATCCCAGTACATAGGAACTGGTTCTGTAGAGATGTGTCCACGTCACCTTTTAAAAATTTGACTGCCGATGGGTTACCCTATTATAATGTCCATCCCCTCACTATTTCAATGATCACCTCCAAGTCAGTTTTATTTCCAGTCTATTTTGGGTGTGAAAGGCATTGGTAATTTAATAAATTAGTATATACTGTGTTACGAGTCAGTGCTTGAGGTATGCGGTTATGCTATGCCAATAATAATATAGAAATAATATAAGACTCATTCTCTCAAAGACTTTTCAGTTGGAAGGAAGAAAAACAGCAAAGATAGATACAGACAAATGTATTTCTTAGAAGAGCATGTTGAAATAAAGAGGCAGAGCCTAGATAACACATAGAAATAGAAGTGGGGATTTGTTAACTAGAGACTTTCCACTAAAGGGCAAAGGCTAAAGGAACGAGAAGTGCATGGGCCATTCTCTCATTGTTTCAATCAGAGGGTAGGAAAGAAAATAAAGATTTCATTTAAGAGGGATAAAAAGAGTTTGGCTATTAAGAAACAGTATTCATGTTAGAGTATTTAGAAGAGGCTAAACCTATTAGGGTTACTGAAGATTAATTGAATTTGAAAGACAGAAAATAAATGGTATAAAAGTATAAATCTTAGGGCTCACAGAAAGCCTAATGGAAGGCAAACAAAAAGACTTCAGGAATCTAGGATTAAAAAGGGGTTTGGGGCTGGGGGTTAGCTCATTGGTTGAATGCTTGCCTAGCCTATACAAGGCCTGAGTTCCCCTCACCCACAAAAGGGGGAGGTTTGGTGGTAGTCGTACAAGTGATTGGCATGGGAGGCTTCTCTCTCCCTCTCCTTCTCTCATGAGTTCACTATTCATAGAGGACTGAGCTGCTATATAGGAAATCCCAAAGGAGAAATCTTTGTCAATCCTCATTAACTCCAATATTTCTTATTTTGTATTTTAAATTTTAAAAAAAACTAAGAAAAAAATTAACATTTTCATTCTATTTTAGCCTTCAACTATTTGTATGAATTTTTCCTCCACAGTTTTTATTTGTACATTATAGTTGTATATACCAATGGGATTTGTTGTTACATATTTGTATATGTAAACAATATATTGATATTAACTTTTAATTTTAGGTAGTTAAGGTTTGGAAGAAAGGTTAACTTCTCTAATTAAGTTGACATAATAGGTTTGCTAGATTGAGAGAGGAATAGGTGCCCCAAATAAACTTGAGATCTCAAGACCTAGTTCTAGTTCAAGTGTTTGGTGGAAAGGCTCTGCTGGGCCCCTCCCTGAGTGTGCATTGTGACTCCAGGGGGAGGGCTATGTACCAGGCAGCTTGTACAGGGCTGTCAAGGTGACTCTAGTTATATATGAGATCTGAGAACCCTCTGACTGCAGGTAAATAATAATACTGACTTTTGTTTCCACCAAAAATATATCTGTTCAAACTTTGTTCTTACATTTCTAAACAGACTATTCTGTCTATACCTGGGTTGTTCCTTTAAACACATGTGCAATGCTCCAGTCATTTTAAAAGCACTTTGTTAACTGTTTTCAAAATTTATGAAAATATCTCTCTGGTGCTTGATTATCTTCCATCTCCCAGGAAAGGGAAAAGGCTGTTAAGAAAACCCCTTTCATTTTTCTGTCTCGTTATTGGCAGTAACACCACAAGGCCAGCAATGTCTTTGTCAAAACTCAATGTGAATGAAGGAAATGAATTATTCTGAGGTTAGTATTAATCGCCTTCTATTTTCAGGTTAGTGAGCTGAGACTAGTGGTCCTGTCACATATAGGAATTGTTGAAAAACTGAGCTGTCACCTATTCACATACAAGTATTAGTTTGTTAAAACCGAATCTGATTTACCTACTGTCCAATTTCTTCAAAAGTAAATATGCAAAAACTATCTGTGACTTCTAAAACCAGCTTAGATAAAAATTCAAGTTCCTACCATCCATGAATTGCAGTTCTGAGTCTGTTCCACTAAATATGGGCTTTGGAAGCTCATTGTAACAGAAATATATAATATTCAATATTATAATTGATAGATGTATGGACGGCTGGGGGGTTTTCACATTATTGTCAGTTCCAATAGCGTTAGCCATATGCTATAAGTGGGGATAGAGACAACCTTCCAGAACTTGGATAGTGTCCAACTGTTTGTTTCATAGTCCATTATTAAAAGATTCTGTAATGCCTGAAAGTCGGTCTCTCAATATGCATGGAAGTATAGTGTGTATATATTTCAGATATCCTCAAATGGCCTTGAATTCAAATATTTTGCTTGTTTTCAAACAATGCGTCTGATAGTATATTTTACTGTTTGTTTTTAAAATGTTTATCATAGCTATAAGATCCTTAATTTTAATCAATGGAAGATTTATCCTTGTGTAATCACTAACATATTTGAGGAAATTCAATCATGAAAAGTCAATATGAAGTATAGACATTCTTGATTTCCTAGGAAAGGACTATGGATTTGATGTGAATGTCAGAGTTATTATTAAGGAAAAACTATAAAGTTAGGAAAAAATTCTAGTTTAGAGCTTGTAGAATTCATTTCATTATTACTAAAGTGAAAGTGATTGAGTCATCAAAATGTTTTGAAAACTAGATATCTGTTTTATTTCTTCAAAACTGAATGATGCTAAAAACAGCTTCAATAATTATGTAAAAATCTGTTGATAAAAATTTCTTAACACCATTACCATACTCTTCATTTTTGGGGACTGGAAATACAGAGTAATTAATCTTTTCTCTTTTATTGTTTATACAGTTTTAAAAATATATTCAAAATGTGCATCTAATTACTGCTAATAGTGCAATGTTCCAGGCCAAACATTTGCCACTGACTGTCAAGTGTCTTTCTGATGCAGCTGGGGAGAGAGAGAGAGAGAGAGAGAGAGAGAGAGAGAGAGAGAAAAGGAGAAAGAAAGAGCAATGTCCCTTGAGCAAGACTTTCTGCAGCTGTTGTGTACATTAATCCAGGGAGCAGATCTCCCAAAACTAAATATAGCAAAGCGTATCCTTTTACATGATAAAAAAAAAATTAAATGAAAGTCTTCAACTATGGAGTCACATTATTTTAGATTTGATTTCCTTTAAAAAGGAAATGGCATCTCACACATATTCCCTGCATAAAGAACATTATGTTAATAAATGAAGTGTGGAAAATGTCTGTGATAGTCACAACATATCACAACTTCCTCTACAAAAAATATTTTTCTTTAGTACTGAAATAGGCTATGATCTCTATGAGTCTCATCAATCTCCTCCAAAAGATTTACATGTAGAAAGTTTTACTTTTTACTTAAGTATGTGTCCCATCATACATAATTAGAAAGTTAGCCTAAGTTTCACTCTAAGTAGTAGTAATTAGTTCTCTGAAATATTCCTTTTCCCATTGTCAGTGCCCTGTTATCAAAACACACTTGTGAGCTTCAATGTGGACATTACCTTTCTTTTTTTAGTTGACCCAGATGGGGATGTCCAACCCAGGCACTCCACCGCGATGATTATTTTCCAAGGAGAACTTTCAGATGAAAGCACAGGAGAATAGGAAAATTCTTCACGCCCTTGGAAGTAGAGAGTAGCCGTCCATAGAGAGTGAGGAGTTAACCTTAGTTTCAGTGAAGATGGCTGTAAGAAGCTGGACAACCTGTCACCACCGGAGCCAGAGCATTTGTCAGCTCACAGGTCCCAAGTTATTTTGAGCTGTATAAACCATGTGCCTGTGAAACATTCCACCTGATTGGACAGGAGAAAACTGAGCAAAGGGATTCCATAGCAGGACAGCACCTATGGGGGGTGGGGGTCAATTGGATTTTCTACCTAAAGAATTTTACTTACATCTGGGAGTCCAAAATATGTGTCAATTGATGTTTGAAATTCATACTAAATGCTGTGTATAGTTGTATATATTGATGAAAATGGCATTAATTTTAAAACAGATCAAAATACTTCATTTATAAGATCCTTAATTTTAATCAATGGAAGATTTATTCTCGTGTAATCACTGACATATTTGAGGAAATTCAATCATGAAAAGCAGAGGCCTAAGGTTTTAAAGCAGAACTTTTTTGAACTGTTGGTCCAAAATCTAAGCAAAAGCATAGAACATAACTAATACTCAAAGTTGCTAATTAGAATTCACAGCGGAAAAGAAGAGGAAAAACCCATTAGCCTGAGAATCAACTTTGGAACAAATTAATTTGAAAAAATCTCTTCAGAAAAACAAATCAGATACTGCTTAAAAGTCAAAATGACTAAATAACATAGTATATTACAATTCTTATCCATGTATTAGTACTTGGGAATAACTTCTTGTATATTATTTAGAAAAGTACAACACTAGCTGGGCGCAATGGTGCTTGCCTAGTATCCGAGCTACTTGGGAGGCAGAGGCAGGAGGACTGCAAGTTCAAGTCTGGGCAATTTAGCAAGACTCTGTCTCAAGATAAACACTTTTTTAAAAGGGCTGGGGTTGTAGCTCAATGGTAGAGAGTACTTGACTAGCAAGTGTGAGGTTTTGGGTTCCATCCCCAGCACTGAAAGAAAAAAAAGTTAATGATAGATATATATATATATCTTCTTTCACAAGCACTACCAATCAGTAAGGGAAAAAAATCCTTAGCTAGACCAACAACTACTCAAATACTTACTTTCATAAAGGTATAGTTCTTTGATATTAATTTCAGACATTTTTAGAAAATGAATTTGAATAAAAAGCCCTATTGGTTAATACAGATTAAGTGATGCTGTAATGTTATTAATCTTGTTAGAAGCCTGGGTTTTGAAAATTCAGGCCAAAGCCACTGATTATCATTTAAAAACATTTGTTCTGAGATTCTAATAGCATGAAATAAATAAGTTTAAATCTAATTTTATAATTTAATTACTGAATTGCTTATAGGGTTTCTTCCCATTCATTCATTTGACAAATTTGTACTTAATTGTTACTATAAACCATGTACTAGTTATAAAGCAGAGCCCAAAATACACTGTATTTCCTGACATCATGGAGTTTACTAAGAGATCTTCTTCAGTCATTTTGAGACTATCTACAGTACATTAAATAAAGATAAAATTTCTTTGGTTATTATGCTCACATCAGAGATTTTATTACTTTTTTTTTTTTTAAGTACTAGGGACTCAACCCAGGGGTGCAATACCACTTAGCTACATCCCAGGCCTTTTTGTTGTTGTTTTTGAGACAGGGTCTCACTAAGTTTCTGAGACTGGCCTCGATTTTGTAATCCTCCTTCCTCAGCCTCTTGAGTAGCTGGGATTACAGGCGTGAGCCACTGTGTCTGGCTCACTACACCTTTTATTATAGGGCTTTATGTTCACACAGGCAAAACAAAACAACAACAACAAAAAAGAATTAAAAAAACTTTTTAAATAATTCAAGTGAAAAAAGGAAAAATTCTATTTTATCCAGAATTATCTGGATAGGTTATTATTACCAAAGAAATTCAAATCCTCAATGAACAGGTTCATTTACTCTCTTACCTAATCCTGTGCTGAAACAAACATCAAGAATACTTACTTTAGTTGGGCCTGGTGGCACATGCCGTAATCCCAACTGAGGCAGAAGGATTGCAAGTTCAAAGCCAGCCTCAGCAACTTAGTGAGGCCCTAAGCAACTTAGCAAGACTCTGTCTCAAAATAAAAAATAAAAAGGGTTGGGAATGTTGCTGAGTGTTAAAGCACCTCTGGGTTCAATCCCTGGTGCCCCCCCCAGAAAAATGAATACTTAATTTTATTTCTGCATTTTCTGTTTATGTATATACTCCAACAAATTCTTTTTACTTAAAAGAAAGAAGGGCTGGGGAATGTAACTCTGTAGTAGAGTGCTTGCCTAGCAAGTGTGAGGCACTGGGTTCAATTCCCCAGCAAAACCAAGGGGAAAGTAAAAGAAGAATTACAGAAGAAATAAGCCATGGAAATTCTGATTTCTCTTTCATTCTTTTTTTTTTGGTACTATTTTCAAATATAGTCAGCATACAAATTTTTTTGTTTTTTAAAAAATGCTAGATACAAATATTTCGAGTAAGTATTATTTAGTAACTGTGAGTATCTTGCTTAAATTCATTAAACTCATATTCTAGATTTTTGTTTTTTTAAAACTAGCTTCTGTTTCTACATAACCTAGTCCCTATCTTGCTTATGATCAGTAATAATTATATAAACATGATATCACAAGCCTACTAGTTCAGAGTTTACCAGAATCTATTGGTACAAAGAATAATCTTTAAAACTTTTTAATATCCAACATAGTTAAAAACAAACTCCATTAGTGACAAGCAAACACAAGGTTACATATCTTAAGCTTTCCCCATAAAGCTGAGTGGTCCATCCAACACATGTGTTTATTGTGGTTTAAACATGATCCTGTACTTGCCCTCAGCTGTTTTCTTAATTCAGTCACTCAGCTACAGAAACAATTTACTCACATTGGGATGATCCACAGGAATGCTGAGGAATCTGGAAAATCTATGGCAGAGGAAGTCTTCACTTGGAGAAGAAGCATGAGAGAATTTCCTTGCTGGTAGATTCGTACAAAATTTGTATTTGCTCTTTTTCCATTTTGCCATAGGCTTTAATTATTTAAGAGAAATTGCTCATATATACCAAAGCTTCAATAAGTTTTGCTCACCATTCATAGATTTATGTTGAGGTATAGCCCTCCAGCGTCAGATAAAAAAACAAAACCAAATTTCTGTGCCCTATTTTCGAAGACCAAAGACATGTATATATTTTCTAACCTTTTGTAATGAGAAACATTTTCACACCAGAAGCAAGTACTTGACCATCCAAAATAATAGTTAAGTGGTAGATTATAGAGCCTTATACAAACCCTGTGATATCATTGAGACATACAATAAAATCCCTAAGAAATTTCTTTTTAATCTAAACAGTTTTGAAAATGTTTGCCTGGGAAAACTAAAAACATTAAAAATAATTTTTTAAAGTTCAAAACCTATTTCATTTTAAAACTAAAAACATTTAAAAAAAAACTTGACAGAACACCTGTTTAAAAGTATGATACTGATATTGAAAAGCAAATTTATAGTTACCTGTCTCGGGAGAGGCACCATTCCTACATCAATCAACCAGGATCATCTAAAGTCCAAATCTCACTGCCTAACTTCTGTCAGCCACAAAAGTAGCATGAAGGAAATGTGATACTGCCGCGCCAGAGCGATGAAGAGTATTTACAGGGTTCCGTTGCAGATCCAGGGACAGTAGTTTAGAACAGATTGCTCTTTCAGATCAACTTTAATAACTCAGTCTGTATGATGTTCTTTGCCTGGAGGAATAGTGGGGGTGGATAATAACTAAGATAACTAAGATGACTAAGGAAACAGGCTTTCTTGAGCTCTTCGACCAGTTGAAAATGATAGTCAAGACATTATAAAGAATGAAGTGCAAGAAAAAAAGAAAGAAAGTGTAAAGAATGCACAAGATATCCACATAGGTCATGTAATTGTCTTTATTGGTACAAAACTGAGGTTATGGTTAATGCATTTCGTAAAAAAAATATGGGAAAACAGCAATCTTTATAATACTTCATATTTGGCCATCCTTTAGAAAAATGGAAGAATTGGTGTGGATTTAGAACACAATAAGGCTTCCTTTAATTGTGTACGTATCAAAATTTGTACTTTTTAAGAAGTATTATTTCCAAGAATAAAATCAGTTCCCAGAACTTTTTAAAAGAGCATTCTGGGGCCATGCATGGTGGCACATGCCTTTGAGACCAACCTCAGCAATAGTGAGGCTCTAAGTAACTTAGTAAGACTCTGTTTCAAAATAAAAAATAAAAAGTGCTGGGATGTGGCTCAGTGGTTAAGTGCCCCTGGGTTAAATACCCAGTACACCCACACACAAAGAAAAAAGAAAAGAAAAGAAAGAAAGAAAGAAAGAAAGAAAGAGAAAAGAGCATACTGGTTGTGGGTGGAGCTCAGGGTAGAATGTTTGCTTAGCATGCACAAGATATGGAGTTCAATCCCAGCACCAAAAAAAAAAAAAAAAAAAAAGTAAATAAAAAACAAAAGAGCATCCTCTAACACTAAGTTACTAAAAAAATCCCAAACAATTAGTATTGTGTATACAGTCTTTTTTTTTTTAATAAAAGTATACCAAAGTTTATTAGGAAAGAAAGTACTCTGAAGAGGGAGAGAGAGAGTTTACTCTAGGACAAGAAAGCCATCTCCTTATGTATAGTTTGTCTGTCTGTCTCTCTCTCTCTCTTTTTTTTTTTTGGGTACTGGAAATTGAGCCTGGGAGTGGGAAGGGGTGGGGGTGGGGTTTTCCCACTGAGCCACATCCTTAGCTCTTTTAATTTTTTGTTTTGTGATGGCTAAGTTGCCAAAGATGGCTTCAAATTTGTAATCGTCCTGCATAGTTGGAATTACTATATATGTAGTGTTATAATCTTGAAAGTATACAGTTGATTCTTACTTTCTACTTCCCACACATGAATATAATGATTATATTAATATAACATCTTGGTAGAAATAAGTTAACATTCCTAGCTGTGGGCTAGGTACTGTGCTAAGCTCTTTATGTACATTGTGCTTTATTTAATGTATTCCCTCAACAGTCTGTGCAATGGAAAAAAAAAAAAGATAACAATCTATGAAGTGGGTACTGTTAAAATTCTCATTTTACATATAAGAACTCAGGGCTGGAAAGAGGTTAA